TCAGCGGGTTGTAGGGGAACTGCGTGGAGCCTGCGGAGGGAGAGGGAGAGGCGGGCGTCAGGGGCCCAGGCTGAGCGCAGCGCCCAGGGGCTGGATCACCAGTAAGCAAGTGCCTATTGTAGGGGTGGGTGCACCAGGTCCAGAACCAGGCATCTCTCTGCAGAATGTCTAAGAGAGTCTGGTAACACCAAGAACTCCTTCGCTCTTCAAAAAAATGCTGTACGATCTCGAGCCAGGTTCCCAGGAGTTCAGCAGGTCCCGGGCAGACTCGGGGGAGCAGGCACCTAACGACAGCGCTGCTGCCCGCACAGACAGGGTTCTGGATTGCATCATCGCCCCCAGAAAGCCACCTGCAGCCTCAGAAGCCCCTAAAGGCGGGGAGCATGCCACTCCATGAACTGTCTAGTCACTCCTTCCCTGAGGGGTTTGAGGTCTTTTCAGGAAAGTGGAACCTATTATGATACAGTAATGGAAACAGCTTTCTGGACAGAGCTGCTGCCCTCAGAAGCGCCCGCCGCCTCTAGCAGAGCGCCTTACCTGTGGAGGAGGGCCTGTCCTCCCAGGCCCACCCCGGCGTCTGCCTGTGGTAATCCCCTTCTGAGTGCACAGAGGACACGGACGAGGGCCGCTCAGTTCCTAGGTAGCCTTGCCCAGGGATGGGAGACTTAGATTTCCTGCTGTTTGACTTGCTGATCAGCTTTGGTTTGCAAACTCCTAAAAGTGAAAGAAATGATTAATTATCGATACATAGTAATTGCTCTCAACTTTCAAACTTACCAGAAATGCTGATAGTTATATAGCTAATGCTGAGTGAAACAGGCGGGCTGGAAACAGTCCCAAGTACCATCCTCACAGTCTCCTTCCCCAGCAATTGAGAGAGAAGCGGGTAGGAGTCAACACACCACCCCAGGGAAACAGTATTTAAAGGGAAAGTAACTGTAGAATGGAAGCCCCTGCCTGGCTCTGCTTGGTAAATCCTGGCGGCCCTTGGGCTTCTCCAGGCTGTTGAGCTGGTAACCTGAGCAGTAATTTGCAGGGGTGGGAAGCCCAGACTGGGCTCCAGGGCGTAACATTAGAGACCTCAGGAGAGATTAGAGCCCGGGTCACAGAAAAAGGGGACAGAAAGCAACTTCTACCCTCCGACTACCTGGACAGAGGAGGAATGCAAACCCTGGAGGGTGAGGAAGAGAGCAGCACAGAGAACGGGGGCAGGCGCTTCACACGCAGGAGGCAAAGCTCAGAACACACAAAGCCAGGTCAGAAAAGACGTTACTAGGTAACCGAAAAGAACTGAGAAAAAGGCGTAGGAAACAAAATACAGCAAGGATCAGGACAGATATGCCAAAAAGGGAATTATTAGGGCAAAGGGAAAACCTATGACAGTAGAGCACCAGAAAGAGGTCACAGTGACTCAGGAAGGAACTGATGTGTGAGGACAAAGACTTCGGCAAAAAGGTAATTGTGTTTCTGAAGCGGAGGCCCCAAAATCAGAGTAAGAGGACATCTGGTAGGACATCTCCCTGAGCGCAGTGTCAGCGCCCGCCTGTGACAGGGAACCTGGTGTCTCAGGATATGGGCAGAGCCTTCTAGTGAGGAAAGCCAGGTGTGAGAACCTTACCACAAAGAAATGCCCGTAAGATTACACAAACAGAACAGCTGTGATCGTGTAAGTCACCAGTACTGTCACTGTAACACACACACACGCCTAAACTAAACACAGTAAAAATCAGTGGGAGAGAATGGCTCACTTTTAAGAGCAGGAAGTAAATCCATACTGTCCTAAAAGCCATACATACAGGTAACAAATCTTGTTGCTGGAAGGGTGTGGCTCGTGTGGTAGAGCGCAAGGCCCTGGTTCAATCCCCAGCACCTCCATTCCCCTCCCCCCCAAAAAAACTTTTATAAAAAGGGGAATGCTTTAATATTTTAACCTCAGTGAGATCTTTTGCATCACTGGCCATAACAGGAAAATAATGAAATGTATCTGACCTCTATAGATAATTAACAGATTGCAGTTCTCAAAAGTAGAGTTATGGTGGTGTGGCCTGCTTTTAATAGGGTACATAAAACGACCTCATTCCAACAAGCTGTCTGTTCATATACGCAGTAACCCCAGCGTTCTACAGGATCTGACCCGAAGGGTGTTTTTCCTTTTATTCTATGGCTTAAAAATCCTTTTATACTGAGCTTGTCATTTTTACTACAGTAGTTGCCACTTTCACTCAGAAGCCAAATAGGAAATTGCACTTGTACGTGTGTGCATACAGGTAAGGACTAGATGCAAACCAAAGAACTGGTGTGCTGGGGCGTGACGTTCTGGGTTAAGAATTTTCATCCCTTTCAATTTCACATTACTAACGCGTCTGACTCCAGTTACTGAAACCTTCCATGACTCTGAGCACATAAATGACATCGCTCAGTGATACTTCAGAGCTTGGGCTATAAATTGGCTTTTTCTTAGGAGACGGGGCAGAAGAGCATGAAAACGAAGACTTCACCTGAGTGAGGTGACGGGTCCCCTTCCTCCCTCCGGGCCTCACCACCGGTCACAACCGAGGTGCTGGCCCCACCAGGCACGACGCCCACGGGCTGGGACATGACGACCCCGTGATCCTCAACTTTGTCGTCAAAGCTCCCCATGAGCGCCTTCCGGATGATGTCCTCCAGCCCGAGGTTGCTGGCGGGGTCCGCGAAGGAGTGGCCCCGGGAGCTCACCGCGCCTGCAAGAGACCAGCCGGCCTGTTCCCGAGGGCGGCTCGGGGAAACTTGCTCTCTCTGCTGATCAGTCTCCCACCTGCGTCTCTTCCCCTCAGCTCCCTGGTGTCCACGCTGTGCTTCAGTGGTTTTCATTCTGTTGGTTCGTTTACCTTTGTTCCCTTTTTACTGCTAGTGATGGAGCAGCCCCCCCCCGCCCCCCCCGCAGCCAGTGCTCACTCCCTGCTTGTCGGACTGACTCCTGGCAAGCAGTGTCTTGAATCTTACCTGAGGTGGTGACTGCGGGCAGATTAAAGATCTCGGTTCCTGGCTGAGCAGCTGCTGTATTTAAACAAACATTCATGTTAACGAAGATGTAATCACATACATCGAAAGAGATAGTCTCAAAAAAAATCTTACAATAAAATTAACCTCATTTTCCACCATCTCAACTTTATTTTTCACCCGTTAAGTGAAGATAGAGATTTTCTTTTTAAGGGAAATCAACTAAAAAATCGCGTGAGGTAGGGAAATCAGAACGGGAGTGATCCAGCCTTGGAGGGAAAGGAGCTTTGTGGTGCTGGAGAAACACTTAGGAAAAAGCTGCCCTCAGAGGAGGGTTCTAGGAAGACCCTGGGAATATCCTGACTTGTGATGAGACCAGGTGGAGAGAGGCCTCTGAGCAGCACGAAAACGACCACAGGTCCCTGAAAACTGTTCTCATGTTCCTGGGAGGAGACAGTCTGCCTGCTGGTCCCTTTCCTTCCTGCTCACTGTGCCACGTGTAACCTGCTCAGCTGGGATGACAGCAGCAGGGACAACCCGGGAGCCACCTACCTATAAAGCACTGTGCCAGGGACAGGAGGGCCTGGGGGGCACAACCAGTGTCCCCAGCTCGATGCTGCGAGCTGGGATGAGAAAGAACACGGGAAGGAAGTGGTAGCTAAACGGACGGCGACCAGAGCAGACGCGCAGCTGGGGGGTGGCCCCGGGAGAGTGGCGCTGCCCTGGAGGATGGCGTCTGTGAAGACGGCCAGGGCCGGGCCCAGAAGCAGACTCTCCAGCAGGGAAGGCCAACAGGAGGTGGCAGCCCGGCTCAGGAAGAACCACGCAGCGGGGACCACGGACCACGCTCCTGGAAACGCGGTAAAGAAACTGAACCTGAAGCAGCCTTGCCGTCATCACCAAAGCGGGTGGGATAGGATTCACTCACTCACCAAATACTGAGTGACAGTTACAATAAAATCACCTTACTGATCAAAAATGGTCAGATGAAGACAATTTCCCACAGTGCAGCTGGCGACGAAACTAGGGCACTGTAAAGTGCCCCCCCGCCCCGGCTCCCTAGGTTCCTGCGGGCTGCGACGCCCGCCCTGAGCAAGCCCTCCAGGTGACTGCCGCGCTGCGTACGGAGGTTCCAGGTTCCTTGGTTTAAGGCAGATGGCAGCCGTGGGGGAGAACGTGGGTTTACTCGGTGGAGGGAAGACGGAGGTTCAGAGGTTCTGGGGCTGCTGGGAAGGGGCGGCAGGAGGCGGAAGCGCCACCCGGAAGCAAGCGCAGGGACAGGGCTCCTGAGGGGCGGAGGGACCGTCAATGGAGCCACCCCGAGGTAAACAGCGAGGAAGCTGTGTGCAGAGCCAGGTCAAGCGCTCGTTTTTAGACGTTTAAGGAGCCAGTAAGACACTGAGGAAGAAACAAGGCCTGTGAAGTTCTCTAGGCAGAGCTTGGCAGAAAAAGCTGAACTCCAGACAGAAGTCTGGGAGTCTCCAGCACATACGCTGAGCCCCAGAGTGGAGGAGACGACAGGGAAAACGAAAGTCCCAGGAAAGAGCCAGGGAAGCAGGACTGAGCTGCTCAGGAGACAGAACAGCCACAGTGGGGGCGGGGGGGGACGGGGACAGGAGAAAGCAGCGCCTGGAGGGTGAGGAGAGTTTCTGAGAGAGGGACAGGGTTCACAGCCGCGGGGATGGCGCGAATGCAGATGGAGGCGCTGAGAGAAGCTGCCAGGGGCCTAGATCCCCAGGTCTGCTTCCTGGGGGGGAGCCCAGCGTGCCTGGGGCCCCATGGGCTGCTGGTCCCTCAATACTGTTCCTTAAGTGTCCTTTTCCACAATCAGAGTTCTTGTAATTAAAAAAATCCCAGATGAAACAAGTTTTGTTAGCACTTACGAAGGCATTAATAAGGTTTACCTCTGTTAGTCAGACCCTTGTTTCATTCTACACTTTCAGAGAGTAGGGGACCCAACACAGCACCTGCTCAGGAATGACTGAGCCGATGGAAGACCGAGCTGCCTGAAGACAGTGTAGAACGTTAGGCGAGAAAACTGTACAAGCGGCTGCTTCAGGTCATACATGGCACTTTCTCGTCAAGGAGGATTTTTTATGGCGAGACAGACCAGAGGGCGTGTATGCCCCGCACAAAAGTGAGACCTTAACAACCCCGTGCACCTCGATGCTTCCTCCCTGGGTTCGGAGAGAATCTCAGTGTCACCATGTGTCTGTTGGTGACACTGAGGAGCTGTTGGTAACAGATGAAACCACTGAACACGAGACAGAAAGAAGTCCTGGTAATGTTTTTAAAAAGAAGAAGAAAGGGTCTGCAAGCCTGATGGCAGCTCAGAGTCATTCTCTTAGAGTGCTGGTGCTTAAAAGGAGCATCTAGCAGCTGAGAGCTGGGATGGGGACACTGGGCTCCTCCTTTTCCCCTGGGTCCTTCAGCCTTCGTGTGTCACCACGTGTCACAGATCCAAACACACATCCACACGGCGTTTTGTAGCTGGCAAACTTAGGAGTCCTTTCTGCTGCAGAAGCAAGCAGACTGTGGGACACCCAGGTCCCTGCAGGGCATCCCGCAAAGCCTCTGGCTCCCGGACAGACAGCAGGAAGCCTGGGTGACGGAGGCGGGGGAGAGCGAGCGAGCTGAAAACAGCACAAGGAAGGATCCAGGGAGCGCGTGCAAGTCCAGCCTCGGGAAGGGCGTGGTGCCAGAGCCCCTGGCTGTGCCCCAGTGCCGAGAGCAGGACCGGGAGGCGCGGGCTGCGCAGTTGGAAGCCCTGCGTCTGAAGCCCCGCCCCACGACCCACTAGGTGAGTGACTGGCAGCTGCTGTCCTCAAACCGCCGCTCCAAGTCTCTGTTTCCTCATCAGCAACAGAAGTATGCGGGTCATTGTGAGGCTAAACCTTCTGTCCAGACTTAGAACGGCGTCTGGCGCAGGGCCAGGGCCACAGATAGGACTGCCCGTGCCAGTCTGCCCTGGACGGCGGGCTGAGATCCAGAGAGACCCCGACAGGACGGGGGCACCTGCGAGCACAGGCCGCGCCGGCCCTCGCCCGGAGGGGCCCGCGGGAGAGCCGACACCCGGTGTTTGGGCTGCCAGAAAACCCTGCTGCGGCCTTGGACTCCCTCGCCGTGATGAGTTTGGGATAGATCATACCGTGCTACTGAGAGAGGCTACGCCAAATAAAACGACTTCAGTGGAGAACAAGTGGGGGTAGGGCTGCCCAGAAGCAGGCCGCCTGATGAACGGCTGGTGGGTGGGGGTTTGTAGAGAAAGGCAGGCTCGAAAGGCACGCCTGGTCTTCAGGGAGCCGAGAAAGCCCGCCGGACGGACGAAGACCAGTCGTGAACACTGCGGAGAGCCGGCCCAGCCCCACGGAGGAAGACGGTCCCGCCGAGCCAGCACTCACTCGGGGACAAGACGGGCAGCTCCGGAAGGCTGCGAGGGCTCGGCCTACCGGGAAGTCCCGTGTGCCGGGGACGTCGGGGCAGGAACTCTGCGGCCAGACGCCGAGAAGAGCCTTCAAACCCGGAGACCGCCCGGGAGGCAGCCCGGGGACAGCACCACTAATGTGTGTTTACAGGCGGCTCACAGAAGAAGTCCCACTTACCCATATCAGAGTCACCTCCACCAGAGGAGTTCAACTTACGAAAAATCTCCTGCTTCTTTGATTTAACCATGGGTGACGTATTTTCGAGCTTGGTGAAGAATGAAGGCAAGTAGCTGATACTCCCCGGGGAGCGGGAATCGTTCCTGTCGGAACAGGAATGCGCGTTACCACCATGCTGTCTGGCCAGTGCTCGCGACAGTCCCCGAGCGGCCGGGACCACGACCCCATCCCATCCCCAGCTTATGTCTGCGCTCACAGAGCTAAGGAGCAGCGTGTGACTGTAAGCCAGTCAGTGTGTCACGTAGAAGGACACGGCCAACCACTTCAGCAGCCAAGGTAGAGCAACAAACTCCATCTTCCCAGGTGGGAAGGGCGATTCTCCAACAGAGGAGGAGCGAGCAGCGTTGGGAGGGGCCGGGGAAGCCCGGGCAGCTCCCCGGGCCCTCGCAGCCTGCGCCACGGCGTGAACGCTGGCTTTTTACGGTTGCTGTGTAAAGTGGGAACCATTTTACTCGCAGCCTTACTTTGACTAATAGCACAACTGTTTGCTGCTTGCCTATGAAGAAGCAAAGCACTGAGACCTACGCCATCAACAGTCAGCCCTGAACAGAGCAGCTGCCACGTAGAAATAAAACTGCCTATTAGTCAGAATCATTTCAGGCCGCCTGCCCGATGAGCTGAGTTTCATGTCGAGGGTTTCATATTTCATTGGTACCTTCCGACACTAACATATCTGAAAAAACAAGTTTTCGCTCACAGCTCAAGACCACCCAGGGTCCAGCCAGAGCCAGACGGTAATGGAGAGCAGAGGGAAGGGCGCTCACAGCCGAACTGGCCACGCGGACTCGTGCGTCGTGCAAGCGTGAAGACACAGCCCGAGTCCCAGACAGACAGGAGGCGGCGGGAATGTAAGGCACGGTCCCCATTCTCAGTTCACAAACTTGGGGGACCCTGTAAGTGTGTAATTACATTTAACGTCATCCCCTTTCCAAAAATGGCTTCTTCCTCGTTTCACTGCAGCCACCAACACCTATTTGGTTGCCTATGAATCGAACAGTAAGTGAACCACTCTCCACACGCTGCAGGAGACACACCAACTGCCTCAAGGAGGAGACAGACCTTGGCCTAAAGCCAGACTCTCCCTCCCGCTGCCTCCGATCGCAGCGGGGCCTGGAGTCACCCCTGAGCAGCAGTGGCAGTGCAGGAAGTGGGGTGAGTGGGCCTGGCCACAACCCAGACACAGTGCTCGACCCCACTGGAGGCGTGGACAGAGCACTGGGCAGCGGGCCGGGCAGGGGCCAAATCAAAGGTGTCTAAACCAAGCGGAACAAAGCCTGGTTCCCAGGGCAAGCAGCTTCAGGGCCAGGAACCGGTAGGAGAAAGCATGTGAGGCAGCCCGGCCGTGGCGCCCACTCGCCGTGCGGAGCCGCTCAGGTGCCGGTTCAGCAACCACAGGGACAAAGAGGTTTAAT